TCAGAGTCTATAATTAACGAGCCTACATGTGCCGGTATTTAATTCCTCGTTTTGCCTCGTTGCGTATGATGTGCGAATGTGTTCTTGGAAGGAAAACTGTGTGTAAGTGGTGGAGGGGGGGGGGGTGTACAATTGTAAACCGTTAACACTGATTACACACCAGCTGCCAAGACAGAGACCACGGCCTCTCACAGCGGCACTAGCGAAACAAACACAAAAAGGGGGGAGGGGGAGTTGGTGGTACACGTACAAGAATGCCAATTAATAATATTAATAAGCACTAGGTGTGTCAGTCAAATGCATGGTCTAACTCATTGTTTCTGTTCATACTTTTCTACTTGACGGTGTATCACATTGTTTCTGTTCATACTACATGTATGTATTCTCCTTAACGATTGTTTCTGTTCATACTACATGTATGTATTCTCCTTAACGATTGTTTCTGTTCATACTTCATGTATGTATTCTACTTGACCAGTCTGATCATATAAATCGTTCCATTCGACAGACTACTATAGTACTACAGTAACCAACAACCTTGAATCTAACTTTAAGCCTAACCCAGAACCCAGGAGCGTACCACACAGTCCAAGAAGGGGCAAGAAAAGACCAATGCACCAAATATTATAGAAGAAATATGACTAATAGTAATATAATATTGCAACTTAAAATATGAAAGTAAGAACACCTGCTCATTTCACTACAGTTTGAATTATATAAGATTGAAGCTACCAGAAGACATGTAATATTATAGTAACAAGGTATGGAAAAATAAAGGACAGGAATTCAAATACCTACATTGATCATCGCTGGTGGAAGAAAGTTTTCAATGAAGAGAATAAGCTTATAAATTAAAGGAAACAGTTAAGCTAGCCTTTTTTAGTTGTTGTATGTTGTAACAAACCAGTTCACTTACCTGTCAACAGCAAATGTTCTGGGCCCGGAGCTTAAATCAATGAACCCTTGCATTCTTTCTCGACTTACCTCATTCGCAGAAAGTGCCCCCCCGCCAATTACCTCGGCCATGACACATTCCGTGACCCCTACAGGAATGACCCACAATAGTGACTAATTATTTGGATTAACATTGTGACATTATTACACATCTCTCATACGAGTCTTATAACTTTATAATATAATGCATCTTGTCTGTGATTGGTTCAATGGACCAATAATATATCCAATGAGATCACATTTCCATCGTGCTTGCTTGACAAAAAGAAACATGAACTGTATGTGTTGCAGCAATAGATTATGTTTCAAGGGAAAACGCGTAATTTGCGCCAGTCTTTGCCAAGCGCTAGGCCTACAAAGGACGGGAAAGCGTTTGCGGCCGAGGCCGAATACATGATGTGTACATGTAGTAACTGCCAGGCGCGGAATGTCAGTTGGCCGCGTTTGCTAGGCTAGGCCTAGAATAATTTGAAGGATTATTTGAGT